CCGTCTGGTAGAGTTAGTAGGAACTAGATCTGGCGTCAGGCACGCTGCGGTGTTCGCGGCGGTTCTTGATATTAACTAGGAGTGTCACAACACCAGTGCCACGGTAAAGCTCCTTGCGACAGAAGTGCTGTGTGGTAAAGCTCCTTGCGACAGAAGTGCTGTGTGGTAAAGCTACTTGCGACAAAAGTGCTGTGTGGGACGTTAGCGGTATATGACAAAACTTAAAATAATGAAAAATTACACCTACACTCTTTTAAGTAGGCCTACTGCAAAAACCCTTTCAGACTTTATTTGTAAACAATATTGCTTCTATTAAGTGTATAAGGCTTCATGCTCTCTCACTCACGCGATAAATTTCTGCTGTACGGTACAGGCCATGCTTCACAAATTATTTGCTTATTTCCTCTATTCATAGGTTAAGCCTCAGCAAAGTCCTGGGGGAGCTTACGCACGGGAGCACTTGGACCGGCGAACTGAGACTGGAAGTGCTCACTTCATGGTGTCGGTATACTTTTGCTGCTCCAAATATGGCAACCGACAAACCCACGATGGGCATAATTCTATGCGACATCTCTTCTACTAAAAACATTTATCATACTGAAAAACTATGTTCCGGCTGTCGCAATGTTGAAAAAATTTGGAGCTAGCCGGAGAAAACGGCCAAATCTGTCCTCAAATGCACAGACACAACGTTTCCCCGACTTTGAGACTCCCATTTGTGCGAGTGGCAGGCGGACAAGGATAACCGGTCCTGCAGTATTCACCGAGCTGCACTTGGCCGGCCTTGTCAGTCCTGATCAGAAAAAGGTGGCAGAAAGATGGTTGAAACAAATCAATCTCTTCAAATGACGACGTAAAGACGATCGTCCCACAGATAACTCGCTAAAAGGCAAAATAATATTGAGCGGACTAGGTGGTCCAAGCCCCCATCTAGGGGCCCGTACCTTGCAACGTCTGTGTTGCAGAGAACTTGGATGGACTCACTGTGTTCCCATATTGCATGAACCCCATACCCCTCCCCCATGGACCAGCCCCAGATAAAAAACCGCACTTAGTACGTCCTGGATCTGGGGGCACCCCTCCACAGATCCAGGCAAAGGACGACAATCGTAGAAACTGAACCGGTTCCAACCAGTTCCAACCAGTTGCTGCCGAACCAGTTCGGTAGCAACTGGAGCAGGAGCTGGAACAGGAGCAGTCCGGTAGCAACAGGAGCTGTCCGGTAGCAACAGGAGCTGTCCGGTAGCAACAGGAGCAGTCCGGTGGCAACAGAAGCAGTCCGGTAGCAACAGGAGCAGTCCGGTAGCAGCCGTTCAAAAATAGCCGAGTTAAGCTCGCCCGCGGCTGCACGTTTCCACCGACCGGTTCCTCCAACCCTCGGCTCACGCCCCCCAACAGCAGACGAGCCGTTTGCGCAGTTCACTCCCGATCGATGGTTTAGTAAGCTGGATAAGCTGGAATTACGTGGAGCTCGCATGCAGCGGAGAGTTGATGAGGCCTCCAGAGAGATCCCGCTTGATAAGGGCGCACCAAAGTCCGCATCGGCCAGCGAGACATGCACGGTGCTACTACCGGCCAGGGGCGCAGCCAGGATTTGTTAAGGGGGCGGAACGTGATGTGTAGGCATCTGGGCGATTTCGACTTTCCTTCGCGAGCCATCTATGATGAAAAACGACAATCCGAGCGTAGGGTGATCCGATCACCCCCCCCCCCCGCCCCCTGGCTGCGCCCCTGCCACCGGCCGAGCTCAATTCAACGCAGGCGGATAATCGATAGGCTTTGCAAGGGCGGAGGACTACCTGGTGGTGTGTTGTGCGCAGAAATGACTGGTACATAGTTGCTGAGGTAGTCGAGAGATCCGTCGAATGCAACATCAAGACCGCGCACAACACCATCCAGAAGCCGTTGGGCTGATGCGGAAGTGACTGAACTTCTTGAGATACGTGGTCGGCGCCAGGGACATTCATCCAGCAGCGGTGTAGATGAACTCGTATGGCGTGGATAGGAAAGCGTTGATTTCCACAGTAATGTGGACGAGCCACCAGCACCACCACTGGCCTATGCCAGAATTCGTATTCTGAACAGGGGAGCGTTGTGCTTTAAAAAAATCATAAAAATCCAGATCAGGGACTGCGGGCGCACGAAGAAAACAAGATGGCGACAGAAGTTGACGATGGAGCTGCGTGGCGACGGCGTAATACGTCTCATATTCTTAATTTGCTTAGTTTTGCTTGCGCACATCGAATCTTGCTTTGTTTGTGAAAAAATTGATGGGGGAGGGGGATGGCGTAGCTCTACCTGCGTACAATACAAGGGATTTTTACTCATTTAAAGATATTGAAGAAAGCATCAGCTATGTAGAAACAGGCTCACTTATACCTGGAAGTATACCTTTGGAGTGGAAAAGGCTGTTCTAGGCAGCACAATTCTCTGTTTAATAAACGTGCTCCTCAATGTGTGATGGTGTGATTACGTCATCGTACGCACAACATTGATTGAGAGCCAATGGAGGGCCGTTATATTTGGAAATCGCGCTCGCGAACGCCGGATATGAACGCCTCGGCAGTGATATTTTTCTTGGCTTTGATCGCCGCGTGGCATATGGAATGGCAGGACTTGAATGACGTTTTGATGACGCCAGGAATGCCAAGGTGACTTCGAAATACTCTCCCCGGTATTACTTATCTCCATTTCCGCGGGCGTGTGCCTTACAAACTAGAGGGGCTTTGCCCTTAAGAAGAACAGGGTTGTGAACAGCACTGATCGTAATTCAAGATGGCTATTTCAGTTCAAAACACCACTTAAATGTGAAACACTCCCTTTAATGTGCCGCCATGTAGCTCAGTGGGTCCCGTCCTCTCGCGTCATTTGACATTTAGCGCAGCCTCTACCACCGATTGCAAACCACGCGAATCAACGGCAAACAGCGGGCTTCTAACGCGACCCGAACCCACCTTTCTACGTGTGGGGGAGTCGAAGGGCAGGCGCTCTAACCAACTGAGCTATCGGAACGGACGTCGGCACAGCGTACTGCGTGGGACGTCGGCACAGCGCATTGCGTGGGACATCGGCACAGCTCACTGCGTGGGGCATCGGCACGGCGCACTGCTTGGGACATCGGCACAGCGCACTGCGTGGGGCATCGGCACAGCGCACTGCTTGGGACATCGGCACAGCGCACTGCTTGGGACATCGGCACAGCGCACCGCGTGGGGCATCGGCACAGCGCACTGCTTGGGACATCGACACAGGACACTGCTTGGGACATCGGCACAGCGCACTGCTTGGGACAGCGGCACAGCGCACTGCGTAGGACATCGGCACAGCGCACTGCGTAGGACATCGGCACAGCGCACCGCATGGGGCATCGGGGCTGCGCCAAGTCGGGCATATGATAGCGGAGTCGGACATCCGTCCCAATCTACGGTAGGAACCATGGCTGACAGGGAGTGGAATGACCTCAAATAAAGCAGAAATCACTCTCGACTCTGTCCGCAGGAAAGCATGCCATGCTAGCCGCCATCGTCGCACTCGCAGCCGCGTGTTTGCCAGCCAGAAGAGGGCGCTAGCTGGTGTTGACTTTTTCTGTGACACTGCCTGTGCAGAAACATTTTGCAGAAACGGATCGTCACGAAATGGCTCGTAAAGGGAATATCGTCGCCGCTGGTGCGATGAGTCAGGGAAGGTTAGGTTTTGTTCGGGTTTAGGTAAAATAGTGGAGTAAAACTTGTTTGTGATTGGCAAATGCTGCTACCTTTCTGTCCAGCACCTATGTGTCTTCATGGCCTCTGCGATATGTACCGACTAAGTTCATTCATGGTTGTTAGACACCGGCTCTGTTTTCAAATGTCTCAACCCCATTATTATTAAGTCAGAGTGCAGATCAGATATGGAGCTCCAGCGAGGCTGGCCTGCGCATACGGAGGATAGGTACACAGTTTTCCAACTATGCCAAAGAATGACGTGAACAACTTGAATAGGTATCCATGGCTTTGGGGGCTAGCGCTGTGCCAGCCACGCCACCCCAGCGCCAGGTCCTTCCAGGCTAGGTGTGGTGTGACTCAGCACTATTTCCAGAGAAAGCGAATTTTGTTACATACTATGAAGCGTGACATGCAGCTGTGTAATGTTATCCTCGCGAAACTGAGGGTACCTGTGTTCTTAAGATAGAGAAGGGACCACTTCTTTTACCCACCCTGTTATCCAGGGTTGCCCGCACAAAAGCCACCTTCGCTGGTGTTTTGCTCCGAAACTCTCGCACGCTTTTGGGCGTGTGTTCTGGATTCACATGCCTCATTTCCTAGATGTAGTGTTTTGTTGAAACTTTCTGAGCTCATATCGCTCCTGAGAATAGGAAGGCTCCAAATACCACGTACCACCAATATAGTGGTTTTTAGCATTCCACGTCGCTCAACCAGCACCTCCTGGTACCCTAAAGGTGTTACCCCAACACAATAACTTTAAATTCATAATTTCTGTGAAAGGCGTCCGATGCTATCACCAGCCGCCCTGTCGTGACATCGACCCACTATCACGCTCCCCCTCCCCTCCCCCCCCCCCCTTCCTGAGTCAGCAAACAGGACTGTGCAACCCCTTCCCCTCCCCCCAACGGCGGCGGCAGGTCTTGCAGCGGCGGCGGCGGCGGCCAGTCGCGGCCCACCCGCGCTGCAGCCCGTGCGCGCGACCCTGCGATGCTGGTGCTGGTGCTGGTGGCGGCGCTGGTGCTGGTGCTGGCGCTGCTGTGGCCGCGGCGGCCGTCCGGCGCACCGCCGGGGCCCCTGGCGCTGCCGCTACTCGGCACCGTCTCTCTCGCCGCGGCGCTCGACACGGACGACTTGCTGACGGTGCTGCGCGGCCTCTCCGATCGCTTCGGCTGCGTGGCCAGCTTCTTCGACGGCCCCCGCTTCGGCGTGTATGTCTCGGACGCGGCCGTGGCGCGCCAGGCGGTGGAGCCGGCGGCGTCGGCCTGCGCGCACGGGCGCGCGCCCAGCTCGGCACAGATGGCGCTCTCGTTCGGCCTGAAGCGCGGCCTCATTGTGGCCGAGGCCGAGCGCTGGCGCCGAAACTCCCAGCTGGTCACCGACACGCTGCAGCAGATGCTGGACACGGGCGAGGTCGACGCCCTGCTGGCGGACGAGCTGGACGAGCTGACCGAGCCGCTGGCGGCGGCTGGCGGCTCGGTGCAGGTGCGCGACCTCTTCCAGCGGCCGCTGGTGAGCCTCTTCTGGCGGCTCGTCACCGGCCGTCGGCTGCCAGCCGCGCAAGCCGAGCGCCTGGCGGGTCTCCTGCGCGACGAGCTCGCCGCGCTCGGTAACCCGTGGGTCGAAAACCGGGTGCTGCGTAGACTCTTCCCGGAGCGCAGCGGCTGGGCGGCGACGCTACGCTTCCGCGACGAAGTGCGACGGCTCTTCGCAGCGGCCGTGGCGCCCGACGTGGCTGGCGGCGAAGGCGGCGAGGCGGAAAGCACGCTGATTGGCCGGCTGCGAGAGCTGCGGGGCGCCGGCTGGAGCCCGGCCAACGACGAGGACCTCGTCATGATCCTGTTCGACTTCCTCAACGGCGGCACCGAGCCTGCGCAGTCCCTGCTGGAGTGGGTACTGCTCTACCTCGTGCGCGTTCCGGAGCAGCAGGCGCTTGTGCGGCGCGAGGTGGAAGCGCTCCGCCGGCCGGCCGGCGCCGCCGACCGCCAGCGCCTGCCGCACGCATGCGCCTTCGTCGCCGAGGTGCTTCGGCACGCGTGCCCGGTCGCCTTTGGCATCCCGCACCGCACCGAGACGCCGCACACTGTGCACGGCTACCGCGTGCCGCGTGACACGGTCATCATCTACGGCATCCTGGCCGGCCACTGGGACGGCACGCTCTGGTCGCAGCCGGAGCAGTTCAGACCGGAGCGCTTCCTGCGCGAGGACGGCGCGTTCGCGGCCGGTGACAAGTTCGTGCCGTACGGGGTCGGCCCGCGCCGCTGCCCCGGCCGGCGGCTCGCCGACGCGCTCGCGCTCGGGGTCGTGACCCGGCTCGTGCGTCAGTTTGAGCTAACACCGCCCGACGGAGCGCCGCCGCCACCCGAGGAGGTGGCCGTCGTGTTGACACGGCGCTGCGGACCGTTCCAAGCGCACTTCCGACCGCGGTGATAGGACCGTTCCGCGCGCAGCTTCTGTGCTGGTCAGATGGCCTTTTGGAGCGCAGTTCTGGCTGCGAAGAGCGTGCCTTTCTGCGCTTAGTTTCTGTCCCCCAGCATTTCTGCGTTCAGCTTTAGATGCGATGAAGCCGGGGGCGGAACGGGACCTCATCGTAAATGGTAGGACTTTCCTACGGTGGCGTCACGATGAGAATGTCTGCGGCCATTTATATGTTAAAGATATTGCGTTATGTTTTCAGTGAAAACTGTAATACTCGGCGCTGTGGCCGGAGCCATTTTTCACCCAAAGTGAATATCAGTGATCTCAGCGAATCTAATGTGGATCTAAGGAATTCGTTCCATATTTGTTCCCACCTGTTCGTTATGATCTACGCACGTTTTTGAGAATTTCGCACGTCCGTTATTCAAGTGTACAACCAAACAGTAGCGGAGAGCAATGATGGCATTAACAACAATGACGGCAGTGATGTCAAGAAAGATAACAGGAATTCTTCTTGGCAGAAATGTCTGGGTGGGGAGAGCGATAAATTCATTACACCGTCCCTGTTCTCAACAACAGGGTCATTCCACGCCAACTCAGGGCGTGTTCGGCCGGTAGCTAATCTCGGAGAATTCTCCGGAATTCTGCTCAATGTTGGAAAATATCCGGAATGGTATTCAGCACTACCAACATGGACAATTATCGCAGATAATTTTCCGTTCCTCTGGAGGATGCCGGCTAATTTTTAGAGCATGGTCAAGATGGAGAGTTGTTCGCCACGGCTATGGAAATTACCGCCAACTGTGCACGACTCATGTCGAAAGAAAATGACGAATCATCCTCGGGCCTGTCGAACGCAAATGGAGGATCTCCGTGGATGATTATCGGAGAAGCAATTAATTGCCACCAATTAATTGCCACCAATTAAATGCCACCTTTTATTAATTGCCAAATAATTGCTACCTTTCGGGATGTGCACAGAACGTGGTCTGGCGGTTATCTTACGCTTCAATCGCAATATTGACCTTTTAAGACCTTTTTGCCCGGACATTTTCCGTTGGTGATGACGTGAAATGACGCATCGACAGGGATGCTCCTAAAACGTTGATAATTCCGCAGTTATAGCATACGTCCTTCATTGGCAAACAGTGATAAGTAGCCAATGTAATGTCCTAAGTGGTCAAGTGAGCCAATTTTACTTATTGACACCATGCTTTGATTTCAATGTTTTTCATCATAAAAATCAATTTTCCAAATGATGGCACCATCATTTCGTCCGGAACATCGGTATTTGGACTCTTTGCTCAATTCTACATTGGAAAAAAATCGACAGCAAAATGCAAACGTGCTCCACACCCGAGCAGTGCGGAGTGCGGCCATAGCTGAACGGACTGCGATGATGATTGTTGTTTTCGTTGCCTCGGCAACAACGATCGACGGTCGGCGCGGGAGGCGGCGGCAACCAACGATGCCGTGGAACACACGTGGCGTGCCGATGTTGTTACACTAATGGCGCCATATATCACAAATGCACGGTCAAAACATTAATACAGTAGATGCAAAACAATGCATACCATTGCTCTCAGAGCTGAACCAGCAGCACGACTGTTGAACTTTCGTGTCGCCACGAGGTATGTTCTTGCTTGTATCATGTAAACCTGAAAAATGCGATGCTTGGGAAAGTGAAGCATGTGGCTTGGCATAGTGTGGTCAAAACTCGACCTTACAACATAAGAACTACTCCGAATCGCGAGATCTCTTTGAGGCCAATCCATTGATGCTTTCCGCTAGTTCTATCTTTACTTACTGTAAAGGCCAGTGGCATGGTGGTATCGACCCCTCATCAGTCTGCGTCATGAAAAACGCTGAATCGGGTGAGCGTTAAGCGTGCATCTAAATTAACCTAAAAGTGTATTTTGTATTTATATAATAATATGATTTATTGATGTGTTACTATATATTGATGACACAATGTATTAATAGCTATACAGTTGTTATTATAATAATAAACGTATCTAATTATTTAATTATATTAACAAATACAGTTAGTGGTCATGTTTGGAGATTAAACGGCAGAATATTAGCCGTTCACAACATCTTGCCTTAGCCTAAAACTGTGGAACGGTGCCATTATTTCATATTTTCCAAGAATAACTGATATCTCTGCATCAAAAACCATCGTCAGGAACATCATCCGCAAGCATTTTGTGAATACATATTAACGTAGCCAACATATTTTGAAGATATTGCTATTTTTGCCCTGCACGTGCGTAACTCGCTTCATATTTAACTTCTTTCATGTTCCATAATCACGTTCTGATATAGTTAAAGTCATGCATTTGTACCCAAATTCACGGCGCTGGCTCCGGGAGTTCTTCCAGCAAGAAGCTCCGCTTAGTTGGGTAGACTCCCTGGACATCCAGCTCAAAGCCCAGCACGAAAATGACCAGTCAATTGCCCCTCCGACTTGTGTGACTATACAGCCCTTACCAATACTGTGAATGAGTGGTTGTAGCTTACTGGGTGGTTATAGAGGGCTGTTATTAGCAGACTAGCTAATGACTACTTTACGCCTCTTATGTATTTTTTGTCCTTGCCCATGGCATAACACTATTCCTGTCGGGCCTGTACCACCTCTTCGCCTGTTCCTTTATACTTATCTCCTTTTCCTAGCTGGGAGTGCTGCGACTTGATTATGTCGAGTGCGCTCAACGAACTTTGGTTTGTTTTTTTCGGTCGATCCCCAACAACGTACCACTCATTGCCAGCGGGCCTTTTCGATCGGTGATTTGCACAGATACGGCTACAACTAGAAATACTTTCACTTTTGCACCTAAGATGTAACCTAGAATAATAAGTTTATGTTGAGAAGGCAATCGGCCGACTAGGTAAATCTCTCATCACCGTCATAACCTTTTTTTCCAAATCCCCAGTTGACTGTGCAGGGCCAGCTTTAGCCTTCGTGTCCGCAAAGCCATGGCCATAATACGGCGGTCTGAGAAGAAATGCTTACGACCAAACCCGAAGATCATGACTGTATGCATACCATATCGGTGATATACCATATAGTACACCATATAGGGCGATCAGCTGGTAATAGAACACACCGGTCGGATGTTGGTTTCGACTTTATTCGTTCGATTCCATGTCAGCGTATCGCTCAATGCATGTGGGCTGGTTGGAGAAGCAAATTCTGCAGATGCAGTGAATAATCTGAAATACATTCACATGCGTGTGGAAGGTGCAACCCTGTGCACATGATGTTAGCCTGAGAGCACTACCGGCTGGTTACGTAAAACTATCATAAGCCGACACGACATGTTTTGAAATCCCCTCTGAAAGTGCGTGGATAACCATTGCCAGCCTGGCCGTACACGGTGGGTTATAATAACGGCCCGGACAAAAATACTTCTAATCTACCCCGAGCCTTGCGACTGTGTATATGCGATAGCGATATCATAAGGTTATCAGCTTCCAGTGCAACACAACGGTCGACTAGTAAACTACATTTGTTCTCGCGTAATCCCGATTTCATGCTTGCGGACTTGTTGGCGCGGTGACTTGCACTCCTGCGGCGGACAATTTGTAATGTTTTTGCGTGTGCGGGGATGGTGCAGCCTTGCGCACGCGACGTCATATTGGAATCGCTGTCGGCCGGCAATGTAGACATCTCCTCTGCCGGCATGGCATTCTTTGCAAAATCACCCCTTAACGGCGCATGGCTAACTACAGCAGCCTTGCCCGTGGAGAGATAGCCATAACTCGGCAACGAGGAGACAGCGTTTGTAACCAAACCCGAAGGTTGTTACCGTGTGCATTCGATAGCGGTGGTATAGGGCTATCAGCTTCCAGTGGAGCACACTCCTCGGATGTTGGTTTCAGTTTTATTCCACCGACCCCTTCCCCCCCCCCCCCTCCGCTCCCCCCCCCATCCCCCATCAGCGTACCATTCACTGATTGCGGGCTGGGCGTGGCGGTGATTTGCACAGATCCGGCGTCCAATTGAACTACTTTTACTTGTGTGCGAAAGATGAAACCGCGCGCTCAGGTTGTAATCGTAAGGGGCATGATCGGCGGGTAATGTAACGGTCCCACTGGCCGACAGGACCTTTTTTCAAATATCCCCTTGACAACGCATAGCCGACACTCCCGTTTAATGATGGTCATCATGCGGCGCCCCTTTGCAAATGCTCATAATCGATCCCGAATATTGCAACTGTGTGCATTCAACGGCGCTGGTATAGGGCTATCATCACTCAGCACATACACAGCTCGGGCTTTGCTTTGGAGTTTGTTTTTCGGAGATCCCCAAAAACGTATTACTTGACACTTGCAGGTCAGTTGGGCTGTGATTTGTACAAACACGGCGTCCAAATCGAAATACCTTTGTTTCTGGCCGGAAGGTGCAACGTTGCGCAGGCAGTGTCATTGTGAGCACACTATCGGCCAAAAAAGAAATACTTCATCGGCCGACATGTTCTTTGTGAAATTCCCCCGCTGACTTCCGTCTACGCGTCCGCAGGGTGGCCATAATACGGCGGCCTGATAAAAATACCAAACCCGAAGATTGTGACTATGTGCATGCCATAGCGGTGGTATAGGGCGATCAGCTGACAGGAGAGCACACTTGTCGGACTTTGGTTTCGAGTTTATTCGGTCGATCCCACGTCAGCGTATCACTCAATGCTTGTGGGCTGGTTGGAGCGGTGGTTTGCACAGACACGGCGAAAGACTTGAAACACGTTTACATGTCTGCAGAAGAGGAGCCTTGTGCACACGGTGTCAGCTTGGAAGCACTGACGACCGGCAATTCTAATTTCTCATTGGCTGACATGACCTTTTTCGAGTCGCTCTCGTTTGCGCACAGCTAACTACTTCTGGCCTGGCCTATAGTTTAGGCCATAGTGTGGCAGCCCGGGAAAAATACTTCAAATCAAGCCCGAAAATAGCGGCTGTGTCCGTTTGATAGCAATGGCAGCGGACTGTCAACTTTCCGTACAACACGTTTGATA